ACATTGAAACTAAAAAATGGATTGATTTTAACATACATTTTTTTTTAAGTTAAAAATAAAATTACAAAATGTCATTAAACGTAAGGGATAGGGTTGTTCACATCTGTTCACGAAGTAACATAATTGATGTTTTATAATAATGTTTTAAATTTACTCATCCATTTGATAAAATTTATACAAGTGTCCGAACTGTCAAGAATGGTAGTATATTTAATGCCTATTAAATTATTTCTTTCAATTAGATTTTACAGTTTATATTGCAAATAAATCAGGTAGAGGTAAAATTTGGCTTGGGATATTACTACTTTGGATATAGTTTTATCTGCCAGGTATGTCCTGTTTTAAGCAGAAGTATAAAAGTATGTAATAAACATATATATATATATATATATATACAGGTTGTGACTGAAATAACACCCAATAATCATATAGTGGTATTCCTAATAAAAAAACTGAGAATCCTCTATCATATATATATGTATATATGTAGGGTGGGACAGTAATTTTGTCCGTTTAGAATATTTCCGCTATTTTTAGAGATATGAAATAATACGGAGGAGAGTTGCCGAATGCGTACTACTTAACCTATTTTTTATTATATTTTCCATTTGGCACTGTGTTATATGCAAATGAACATTAGAAATTGTAGCTTGAGGTTTTGGACGCTTATTATTACATGTTTAACTTTCCACCAATAACAAATTAATTTGTTATAAATCTTTTTGTACCATATTGCAAAAGGTACGATTTAGACAACCGGTCACCTAAATCGTACCTATATATAAGTATTTTTTATCGTATTTCCTTTGAAAGTATTGAATTTATGAATGACAACAATTATAAATATAAGATTAATAAAAGAAATCATTAACTAATAGCTAATAATTAATTAATACCTAATTTTAATAATTTATTGAAGAAAATCAAATGTATTATATTTATTAAATAACAATAATAAAAAACAAATGACACCAAAATAAAATTGGCTTAATTATATTTTTGCATTTGGCATTTATATTGTATCAATTATTAGTTCTATTATTGTCAGTTATCAGTATTATCTTTTGATGGTACGATTTAGGAAACTTGATGGATTTTGTAAAAATATCGATTTAATCTTTATAATGGTTACAACTATGTATATACAGTGAATGTAAAATACTCTACAATAAATCTTCTTTTATAAAAATACAAAAATGTATAGTAAAATTGGATGATCGCGTTGTTATCAGTTACATAAGTTGATTCAAAATTAATATCAGATGTACCTGATTTTTTAAAACGCCGCTAACGCCATAAAACAAGACGTAGGCTATTATATTTTTGTTTATATTACTCATTTCTCATATATTTTATACTATTGGCGCTCTTTATACGTATATTTTATATTATTAAATATTGCCTATATTAACTAATAATATAAAATATTGATGAGCTACGATTTAGACGACCAGTACGCATTCGGCAACTCTCATTAATTAATTTTTTCATTAATTAATTAAACATTAATTTTGTCAAATGACATATATTTAAAACATAATTGGTAGTGGTAGTATATTGATACCTATAATGCTACTGGCATGAAAGGGATAATTAAAAAACGATTTACGAAAAAATTATAATTATCTTGTTTTAAGGAACTGTCCTTTTTCTTTCAAAAACATGTCAAGGTGGTGTTGTTCAGGCGGTTCAGGCGTAAAACGTAATTTTAAATGTCAAAGACTGTCCACGTAGATATAATGTGTACACTTTTGGCACAGGGTCCCGATCAATGGCGGTATTTCGTCGGACCGCCCGCTTTCTGAGCGAAAGAGTTAACAAAACTATTTTCATTAAGTATAATGATAGCATACTTTCTTTCAGATGTATTCCACAGTTTTATCCGTTACAATAATTCTTACGCAGGTATATAACAGACCTATTCTCGCAGTAATGCATGAGAAATTTTGTTTTTTTTTTATTATGGTTTTATATGAACAAGACGCGCGCGCGCGTGCGTATATAATTAAATACATTTTATTTAAATCAAAATCTCCGATCTTGTCATAACAATCAGAAAGAATTTCTGGTTGTTGACAAGATTCGAGATTTTACAATTAGAACTAGAATTATATATTATGAGGTATTATACTATTTGTTACATTATAAGGATTTGTTACTATTTTTCAGTTTGGTTTGATAGTGCCACTTGATGGTATATGGCCGTACCATGCAATACAACAGTAATTTTAATCTCAGCGCACTCTAGCAGTTCAATTATTGTATCAGTCGACACAAGTCAGGTGAATATGCTATATTGTTTTATGACGTCGTATTGTTTCGTGTGGTGAAGTGGAATAAAATGATACGTACCATGATGAGAAAACGTCTTTTTTTTCCGCCGTTAATATAATTTTGAGAAAAATGAATAGAAATTTTGAAAGTTATGACAATAGGATTAATTTGAATTACTCTATATTATATATTGCTTTGTAAGTAGATACCTCATAGATTATGGGTGCATGATCCCAGTCAGAAATAGTTCCTCGAAACAAAAACGTCGTTTCGACATCGAAAATAAAAATCGAAATTATTATTCATTTTGATGGATTTTTGACTCCAATTTCGATTAATTTTCGAATTGGAAATAAAATCTTGAATTGATCTTCCAAACGATATTGGAAACTTGAGACCAACATTTAAATTTCATTAATTTAAAAATAGAGATTGTTTCGATGTCAATTCGCGAGCTAGAATTAATGTCGAAGATATTTTTCCTTGATTTCGTGCTCATTTATGGTAAGAGACAGCTAATAGGTTGACAGCATTTATCGTAAGAGATATTATTCCCTGAAATTCTTCAATACAAAAGTAACGTAATAAGAAAAAATAAAAGCACTTTTATTACACAATTTGAGTGGACGTTATCGATTGAATGTAGAACTCGAACTGTTCAGCCGTTATTAAGATTCAATAATCTCAATCCCCCGCAACTCGCGGTCTCGCGTAAAGGAACCACGGTAGTGTCGATGCATGGCTTAGCGCCGAGATACTACCGTGTCTCCTGATTATATTAACTAAACGAAGTACAAATAAAAATAATGTTATTCAGCAGGGGTAGAACAATAAAATAAGATACAAAGAATTACTAGAAAAAAAGATGTAGACTTTTTCGACGGTTCTAAAAAAAACGTTCCAATTTGTATTAAAAATTACAAAATTTTTTTTCTAAAAAGTTATAAAATTATTTAGAAATTCTGAAAATTTTTGAGAAAACTTTTATGATTAGATATTACAATTGTCGAAATGAAATCGAAAAAACGTCTATTCGAACGAAAATATTCAAAATATAAGATTATCACGTTATTTACACCAAATATAATATTAAAAAATATATCAAACTGTCATTGCACTCTCTACATACGTAATTTTTTATTATTCGAAAAAGTTACAATTTCGACGCAAGTTTCGAATCGACAACTTTTACATCTTAACGACGTCTTTTCGAGGAACTATTTCTGACTGAGATGCGCATGATGCATCATTTATCTTTGTTTATGTACGATGAACAACAAGGAGAAACAATACATTATGCATAAAATGCATAAAACAATACATTATGCTTAAAATACCCTAATAATTAATAAAGACATGTTTGATCAACAAGATGTTTTGCGAATACGAGCGAAAATTTTAATGGGAAAAATTTATCCAATTATGACGAGTAATTCTGATATATTTAATATAACACAGTTATAAATGCTGTTCAAAATACAATAAAAATATTATTACCAGGGTTGGGTAGTGCTAAGTTATTGTAAAAAGATAAAAATAAAGTTAAAAAGTTAATTACCCGGGAAAAAATGTTTTATATATAATTACATAAAATTATGTAAAAATATATATAATTTTATATAATTATATATAAACTTATATATAAAATTATATATTAAATTATATGTAAAATTATATATAATTATATAGAATTATACATAATTGTATATAAAATATGTCCATTTATATACAAAAATATATAAAATTATATATAAAATATTTTCGGGTAATTTTAATTTAACTTACAAGTTACATTTTAGACTCTTAACTTTTTAATTTAATTTAATTACATTTTATCGGTAAGAATTATTGCACCGTGTGCACCAGTTCAAGTAGTGCAGGAATAAAGAACAGACCTAAAGATAAACTTTCACGAGCTGTTCAAACCAACTGTTTTAGCGACAAAAAGGATCACGTGAATTAAAAAGAAAAAAGTTATGATTTCTTAAGTAAAAAACCTATATTTTTATTTTTATTTTCGCGATTTTTTATTATACTAAAAGTTTAAAATCAAAATCTTTAAAGCCGCTGCATATTCCCTGTTCTACAATATTTAAAGTATGTTTTCAGTAATTTTTTTATTTCACAAAATAAAAACTGAATACTACAGTCGCTGATGGGATCATTTTGACATTGGCATATAACTATTACAGAAAGAAGTGTGACCACGAAGAGTTAATTAATTACACACGATGTAATAAAACAATTTTAAAAACGTATTTATAGTATGAAAAAAAAAACAGATAAAATAATTAGTCTCGTTCCGGTGTTTGACAAAAAGTCATTCTTTTGTCAAGCGAGCTTCGTGCGATCGTACTATTACATATGCGCTTGAATAAATTGTCAAACGAGTTTCGTGTGACCGTATCATTGTGCGCGTGGATAAGTTATCGTTCATTTTTGCAAAATCGATCCAGCCTTTCTCCGCGACGTACCACGAGATGGCGGTAGCGTTCGAATTTTCGTCGCCGCGCGACTCGCGCAGGCGCGGTGGAGCCGTACGTGATCGCGCATGCGCGCATGTGCGCGCGCGACATTCAAACTTCGCTGCGCCGTACCGGCCGCCAGCACATTTGTTTCACCCAGCCTCCCCCCCAGCGCGCTCACGCGGTCACGCCGCGCGGCGCGAGTGGAGAGTGGGGGGAGTGTTTGGCGGCGCGTTTGTTTAGTTGCGCGCTGACAGCGGCCGCGTTCGAACGTGATTGGCGTGCGTGTCTGTGTTATCCGGAAGGAACGCCGCATTGCCGGCGTCGTCGGTCGTCATCTCGTAACATCGTCGTTGTCGCACGTCAACGATTTCGCGATTACGCACCGCGAAACCATACATCACGCTAACGAACGAAAATCCCTCGTGCCGCCGGAAGTGCGTTCCACGCTCCATCGTGCTGTCCCGTCCCGCGCTGATCGTCCGTCGGCTTCTCGCTGCTCTTTCTTTTTGTCGCCATTCCTTCGCCCTTTCTTCCCCTCTGCTGACGCACGTGTACTGTGTCCGCAAGATTTGTTGACCGTCCGTCTCACCTGTGATCTTCGCCACCACGCTGCACCCACGCAACGCAACATGTCCACGTTGAGCGGGTGATGGCAGAGCGCAGAGGATGTCACGTCGCAAGCAGAGCAACCCCAAACCGCTGAAACGTGAGTCCCGAATATGTGCTTTTTACCTGAGCCGACTTAGTCTCGCGTGCTTCTTTCGTGCAAACTAGAAATCCTTTAACGGAGTCTGTCACGAGCAGTTTCGTCAAAACAATCCAGACAACACGCATTATCTAGAAGACCTCTTTACGACGTCTTTAAACATTCCTTATAGCCGTTTCTAGCAATGTAGTTTAATTTTAATCTCGGTTCAACTAACTCTTCATCTTTTTCTAGTTCGAAGAACAATGCGTGTTCTAAGAACTACAGAAAAAGATGAAGAGTAAGTTGAACCGAGATTAAAGTTAATTTACATTGATATTAGAAAAGCGGGCATTAGATGTCACAAAAGACATCTTCGTGATGTCTCTAAGACGTGTCTTTTAGACATGCTGCGTGTTGTTTGGGAAGAGTGAAAAAGAAGGATATATGTATATTTTTTTCTGGATGCAATCTCATTCTAGGTTTGTTCGTGTCGCAAGCTCCAACACTATCAAGCGCGTTGGAGTGAGTAAGAGCTGGTAGGAGCATATTGGAACATGTTGGAGCACGCGACGCGAACAAACCTTCTAACTTTACCATCTTACTCGTTTTAACTCATTGAAGTTGACAAAAACTACGGACTAATCAAGAGCTTGCCATCTCCTGGCCAGACTTCGTTATAGGGTCTCTGGTGTGTGAACACGTGCCTGGCGCGGTGTAGTGTGTCTGCCATGCCTGCGTGCGTGCGTGCGTGTGCTTTTGACAGCCACGCTTCCTTTCGCGCGAAAGATTCTTGTCGCCGCCATGCTTGTCATTCCAGATTTGAATCCGTTTGTCACGTGCGAGTTTGTCAGGCTAGCCCAAGGCAGATATCTCGATGGCAGGCTTCGCTAAATTCAATCGCACACTGATTCGGATTTCGTTTGCTTGAATCCGTATTCCGAGAGAGGATCACGAGATTTGCGTCGCTTGTACTTTTTGCTGCGCTTAGAAATCTTCGCTTTATCTTTTTTTCAACGAATATACACAGCCTTGACCAGATATTAGACATCTTATTAATTATTATTTAAAATTCTAACTGAAAAATTGGTTTATGGCACTGTAAACTGCCCTTTAAGTTCAAGAACTTTTTAAATTTATATGTAGAGCATCCTAATTCCTTGAGCTAAATAATATTATTTTTAACTTCCATGTGCGTCAAAATGTATATTAATCCATTTCTGCGATTGAAAATTGCTTCGTTTCAAAATAAAGAATTCATATTAACGTTTGCATTTATATAAATAATAAACTAAATTCGAGATAAGTTTTTAATACATTTTTTCAGTTAAATTGTTTTAGTCAAATTAATGATATATTAAATAAACGAATTTAGTATAATGCCACTAACTAATAGGAAGTAACAATGTAGGTAAAAGAATGTCTAGATAAATAAAAAAAATATGAGTGCCTAATATTTTTAATGGTTAAGGTTGTAGGTTAAGGTTGTAGGTTTTTTGTTGCTAAACTATTGAAACTTTTTGTACTTAAAGCAACGTCTACAATGAGATTCTAAGTAAAACGTAAGCTTTAGTTTACCGTAAGAAATTGATTAATCACAGTCGAATGTAAAGAGAATAATCAACTATGATCAATCAACTATGGTCAATTTTTTACTACTTAAGACTCGATGCTTAGGTAACAGCTTATTGTAGAAAGCCTATTAGTCCGGATCTACAATAGGTTTTTAAGCCTTAAGCCATAAGAAATGGACGAATCATAGTCAATTATTCTCCTCGCATTCGACTGTGATTGGTCAATTTCTTGCTTAGCCACAATCTTGTTTTAAGAAGCCGTAAGTCATAAGAAATTGACCAGTCACAGTCGATTATTTTTCTCATATTTGACTGTGATTGGCCAATTTCTTGCGGCTTTACGGCTTACGGTCCTTTAAAGCAAGGTTGTAGACTTAGGGATTTCGAGCAACGCGAAAAACATACAGTTCGGAGTATCGTACATTGGCGCGAGATTTCGAAACCGGAGCACGTTGAGATTGTTGAATTTGGAAACATCGAGGAGCGATTGTAATATCAACTCGGTAATTGCGAATTATGACTGCAAATAAGATTTAAATTATGACTTTTAATCATATATATTTATAAGCATTAAAATATAAAATATAATAAATTATAATTGATTGTCTAACAAACTTCTTCTTTTTTGCAAATTAGATTTTGAAAAATTTTTTTAAATTGACAGAATTATTGACTCTCTATTATTCCTGATTTGAAATAAACATTACGATGATATAATTACCAAAACTTTTAATGTAGAAATAGCATGGCAAAAGAACTATTTGCAAAGTTTATATTTTTTTTTTAATATTTTCAAATTCATTGGAAAATTTGCGAAGTTCAAGATATTGTTATCGATATCGAGGAAGTACGCTTAGAAATTCGTTGCTAACCTAAAAATATCGTTATTTCTCTTTCTTTCCTTTTTTCTTCTCTCTCTTTCTCTTTTTCTGCCAATGGAAGCAATAAATTCTTCCGAGAATAAATCAACGACCGAATAAATTAATTCGCGACGCCGAAGGAGAACGGGTTTCTCGTGACAAAACGGTTCATTCAACGTCTGTCTCCTTTGGAGTTGAAGAGTAAAAGATTAGGTAAAGGACATAACTCGGGACATAATTGTTTCGAAGATGGACTGAAAGTTTAATTAATTTTTTTATTATACATACATGGAACGTTTATTATTATTTATTAATCAGTTTTTTCTCGACGTCGGTATCTTATTAATTAAGTTCATATAAATCTTGTAATTTTATCGACTTGAAATGATTTTTTCGTTTCAATCTTGGAAAATTCGATAAAGTTAATGATAAAATAAGAAAAAATTTTCGTTAAGAAAATTATGTTGCTTCGCGTATTTATAAGATATTTCATTGAAATTATAAATTAATTCTTCAGTAAATGATAAATTAATAAAAAGATCTTATTTTAAAAAAGATTTGGATTGCTTATTTGTTTATATTTTTGGGGTATATATTCAATATTGATAGAAGATAGCAATAGATATCAAGATATTGGTACCTTTATATCAATAATACACATTATGAAACTGTCATATCTAATATGTGATAAATAATTATACTAAATATAGCAGATAAGTAATCAATAAACAAATACTGTAATAAAATGTCAAAACACAAAATAAATAACTTAAATATCATACTTGTTATATTATGCTGTTTATTATATTAATATATTATATAATATATTGATATCATCATTCAATTATTAATATTGTTATAGTAATTATCTATACTCCATCCATACTGCAATTAGAGACGTCATGGTTTCTTATGATCATGATTGTTGTCATGAATCTTTATTGGCTGCCATAAAATTTTTAATATTAAATTCTCATAGATTGATTTTACCATTAAGATATATTTATATTAATGTTTTTGTACGCGGAATATTTGCTGGCCTATGAATGTGACACAGAAGAATTTATTAAATTGCCAAGAAAGTTCGTGCTATTTCATAAGAATGTAAAACAAATAACAAATGCGAAAACGAAGAAAACAGGAAAGTCGCATACACCCGAGAAATGTGAACGTTGAATTCAGTCGATTCGATCGCACTAATTCCGATAGTATCTTTTGCCGTCGAAAGCAGCACGAATTTTTTGCTTACCTGATAACGCGACGCATCCAGTTGCCGCATCCTGTCAGCTGACCTTTCGATTCTAACGGACCTCGTAGTATGAACACGCACGCACTCGATGGCTGACATGACAGATGTGACCATCGCGATTACGCGGATTTCACGCGTTTGTATAATTAGCCATCCGCAGTCGGTCCCTCGTCCTTTGACAGGATGTCCGATTTTTGTTGTCCCATCGCAGCTCCCGGATCATACGAGTATTTATCTGTCATGTGCAGAAATCTGTGATTTCTTAAAAATGTTGCAACCAATTTATCAAAGTATTATTTTATTAAATTTAACAATAAATAATTATTATTCAATTATTGATTAACCAATAATTATTTAATAATTAATAATAATAATTTATTTAATGTATTAATTTATTTAATTTATGTGCTTAATAATTCTGCCACATGAAGTTTTAATTAAAATACATTGTCCTAATTTGATAATTATCGCGATATTCAATTCCCGTTTAATCGCGATTTAAAGAAACGATGCGCACGAATAAAATACTTTATAGAAAAGATTTTCAGATCCAATTACTCTTCGATCTGTCATAAAATAAGATCGATATAAAGGCACAATCATATTAAGAGAAAAATATTTTATTCTTAAATAGAAAATTCTTAAATCTTGTGTGAAAATAATCTTGGACATTGGTTCTGTGCTAATATTATGGCACTAGCATCGTGAGTTATAACTCCGGGTAAAGATTTCTAAACGCAAGAAAAACTTAAATTTATATATGTTACTCTTATTTCAAGATAATAATCAATCTTATTTAATTCCAGGAAGGAATATCGATATTACATATATTATTTAATATTAATATTGTTTTATATTTATACTGCATATTAAGTTACGATAAGATTAATGCCTCTTTCAATGTAGTTTAATTTTAATCTCTCGGTTCGACTAGTTTTCACCTTTTTCTAGATCTAAGAATTAGACAAAGATGAAGTCGAAGCGAGATTGATAAAGTTAATCTACATTGGTAGAAACAGGCATGAGTACGTCCAGAATATTTTTTGTCTCGTCATCAGAAAATCTTTCTGAGAACGGAACGTAGAAAAAAAACGTGAATGAAAAGTAATCGATGCACTCGGCTCGCAGTATAGTTTCTCTTCGGTTTTCCGCGAATCATTTCTCGCCGAAACGCTCGCGTCCGTTCTTTTCTCGCGCTGCGATCGCAAAACGATCGAGGCCAGACGAGATCCCGGGCCCAGATCCAGTGTGTCTGGATCCTTTTCGTCGCCCCCTTCGCCCTTGTCGCGGCGGGCATCTCGCGATCACGTGGCTCGATCACGAAAGTTGGAACCCACT